TCAGAGGGATCGTGGCTGGAGGGGCTCCCTCCGAGGGCGGGAACCCTGCTAGGAGGAGACTGGTGGCACCTGAAAGGCAGGTGACTGAAACTAGAGAGGGGCGTCCAGGTGGGCTTGGCCAATGGGCAGTTCTGTCCAGGTGGGCTTCCTTGGAGATGCAGCCCCTGAATCTGCCTCTCTTACCTGCCCAAATTCCCTTTCTGGTGACTGCTGCATCCCCGTGTCTCGCTGCCCGTGTAAGGGAACAGTTCCTATCTCTGGATATTTTCAATTTTAATTTTAGCTCTTTTATGGGCTGTATAATCTACTCTGAAAAATAAGCTCTCCGCTGTTTTTTAGAAAGAGACCAAGGGGCTTCTGTGATATATTTAGAAAGATAAAAGAATTTTAGGTCAAAGGAGAGACCTGGGAGCTCCAATAACTGCCTTTGAGCATTTTGGGGAAGAGAGACTGGTGTGCACAAGAGGCAGGTTGTTTTGAGCTCCAAAGAGGCTTCAGTTGTTGGAATAAAATCCTGTTTGGAGAGTTTCTGTTTATATTCTGTGGAGTCAATCCTGCTTCCTCTAGTTATTCCATTACAAGCTTCCCTTTCCAATTTGCAGTTTTTCTCCAAATTTCATGTCTGTAAGGCAAAGCACTTCTCTGAGTCTCTCCACTTTCATTTTCCTAGTTTTTGCTTTCTGTCTGCTCCAGGGAGACTATAACTCCCTACCATACAGCAGTTTCCTTGCTGAACTCCTCAGTTCGTTTGTCCCCACATATATGCTGATGCTTCCCTTGATAATATATGATGTATTTTGCATAATTCTCTGTGCCTTTGTATTTATATTCAACGTGCCCATAAACATTTTGTAGTTGTATATGTTGATATATGTGCAGTCACACTTATCTTTGTGTGCTCGTGTACATACATTGTTGTTTTCCACTGACATATTCATAGATGCCTTGCATATTTGCACACATATATTTATATTTTACTGTTGTTTTGCACTCTGGTTGGATGCTAACTGCTTTTCATTGCCTGTATCCATGGCAATGACAATAAAGTTGAATCTAATCTAATCTAGTTTGACTGCTTAATCTACAAACTATAGAGTTTCTGTTCCCCTTAAGGGGAATGAGTCTCATTTCATCAATTTCCCCCTTTTTTCCCCTAAGGAAGTCTGAAATGTTTTTCTTCCTGTCACAGGAATGATGGATTGTACCTCTCTCTTTTTTTAGAAACTATTGCTGAATGCTCTTTTTTGAGTGTCAGTATATTTTCTTCTAGGGAGAAGCTATGAAAGTGATTGTTCAGCTCCAGAGGGGCTTCATTGGAGTGGACTATGGTAGATTGTAGGAGCTTTGCTCTTGTTTTCTTCCAAGAGTGACATGTTTCCATTGGTCTTGTTCTTTAGCGACATATGTAGGCTCATTTTTTACAAGAAGCTGTTAGTTCCCTATTGTGTTTTACTTCCGTGTAGTCTTCTTATTTAAGTTGGGATTTCTTGTTTTGCTCATTGACTTTCAGAGTGCTAGAGCTGCCTCTAAACACTTTACTTTTTCTTCTAGTAATTCAAGTAGTTTGCATTTAATACATAGTTTGGGTCTTCTGTGGTCATATGCTGAAACATATGGCACACTTTGCAGTTCATTACAGTGTTAGTCCAGTGGTGGCTAACCTTTTGGGCTTGTGCCAGAAATTGTGCGCTCATGTGCCAGCACCCAGAAGGCAATGCGTGTGCCCCCCCCGCCCCTGTGCACCCAATTCCCCACACCCCTTACCCTCACTGTGCCTCCCAGCTGATTTTTGGCCCATCTGAGGCCTTTTTCGGCCTGCCAGAGGCTCAAGGGAAGACTCTGCAGCCTTTGTAGACCGAAAAATGGGCCCATTTCGTCACTTCCGGTATTTCCAGAAATACAGGAAGTGACAAAGTAGGCCTGGTTTTCAGCCTACAAAAGCTGCAGAGGCTTCACTCAAGCCTCTGGGAGACCAAAAATCAGCTGGAAGGCATGCACATGCGCAGTGAGGTAAATTTGCCAGGGGCTTGTGTGCCCGCACAAATGGCTCTGCGTGCCACCTGTGGCATGCATGCCATAGGTTCGCCATCACGATGTTAGTCTTCATCTCCATGGCTTTTTTTCTTTAAAAAAATTAAAATTAGAAATGTCTAAAAATTGAAATATTTTCCGTGTTGCAAAGTATCAGTTTACAATAGTTTTGTTTTCTGTCTTGAAAAATTCTTCACTATCTTCCCTGTTTTAAGCGTCTATCTCTTTTTCTGTGGTTTTTGTCCTCTTGATCATTAACAATTTAAAGATTCCTAAAAAATTAAAATAAGCAAGCTGTTTTTTAAATGTTTGGTGAAAAAAGAAATTGAGACATTGAAAAAAATTGAAAAAGAATTTTTTATAAAAAACATGAAAAAGAATTTTAAAATGGAAAAAGATTTTAAAATGTTAAAAAATAAAAAAAAGTTTTGTAAAAAACTAAAAAAGAATTAAAAAAACTCAATTTAAAGAGTTTTAAATTAAAAATGATGTTTAAGACTTGAAAAACAGATTAAAATTAGAACAAGGAATTGAAAAATTGAAAAAAATAAATTGAAAAAATTGAAAAGGAATTTTTCTTAAGAAAGGGAATTCAGAGATTTTAAAATTAGAGTTTTTGGCCCTTTATGAAGTAATATGTACTTTTCTTTTGGAAGTTTCACTCTATTTTCTAGGAGATGCTTTGCTCTTAACCCTCTACTCCCTGATTTGAAAGGTTATCCCTTTTCTCCCTGTCCACAAGTAATTTTTACTTATTCTTTTTCCTCCTGCTTTCTTGCTTTTCGGTTGCCAGGCCCCTGCTGGGGTTTTCAGGTACGATATGTGGCTATTCTGCTTAGCTGGTCTACCACGCTGCTCTTAGCCGCAGCTGTGGGCGCTACTGCTCAGTTGGTCCTGTGTCTTAGTCGCTGCTCGGGACACTTCACTCCTCTGCCACCTAGCTCTGCAGCTCTGCTGCTCAAGGTCTGCCATGCTGCTCACGGGCCACTGGTCTGCTGCCAACTACCTCTGTTTTGCCAGAGCTCAGTGTCCTCCATTTGCACCATAATGGCTCCGCTAAGGAGTCAGGCTGGGTCACTGAGCTACCTCTCTGTCTCTCAACTTGGCTTCTCTTCTTCTCTCAGATGGGTCGCCAAACGACCTCTCGGTTGGGACACTGGGCTGCTTCTCAGCTGGACCACCTCTCAGCTGGGCTGCTTCTTTGTTCAAGTTCAAGTTCTTTTTTTTTTTAATCTGTCGCTAATCTTGATGTTGCCCTCTTGATATAGTCTGTGTTCCACACATGTATTCAAAAGGACAGATGAATAAAATTTGTAAGGTAAAACAACACCTCAGTTTAAAAGAAAAAAAAATAGTATCTCAACTGAGAGCACAAAAAAGAGATGTCAGTTTGTTAGTGTAAAAAATGTATACATACACACACATTTGTGTGTATATATATAGAATAAAAAGATAACACAAGATATGCCACAAAATCCACAAAATAGTCAAAAGTAGTCAAAATTTTAAAGTATTGTAAAAAATAATAAAAAAATATTGTAAAAAATAATTGCAGTCTCTGACTATTTCTCTAAGAAGTTAGAATGATAATCGCAGTTTAGGGTAATAAAAGAAAACAATTCAGAGGAATTTACAAATTAGGTAATAAAAATTTATGATCCAGTTGTAAAACTTTACAATAATTATAACAACTTTTTAAAAAGTTCACTCAATTTTTCAGGATCATGCAATATATTTTTTAAAAACTGTATTCAATTCATTCATATTATTTGGTAGGTACAGACGAGAATCCCTAAAAATCCTTATAAATATGCAAAGAGAGAAAAAAAGCACCTTTGCAACAGATCTTCACTTCTTTCGAGAAAGAGGAAGATAAAAAGAAATTTCATGTCGTCAGATCTATATGTAATTCATTCTGCAATGATGTATGAGTAAGTATGCTTTGTTAATGGTATAAAGAACAATGCAGTCAATACAGGGTGGGATCCGACAGGGTTAACTACCAGTTCGGTCATTTACGAGGTTCAGTGATTTACGATGTGTTTCCCTGCACGCTGCCGGTGCGCGCCTGTAAATCGTCATCAGCCTGTAAATCGTCATCAGCATGCTGCGTGCAGAGAAGCAGCCTTTCAAAAAGCCCTTTTTTCCTGCTTTTTTAACTGCAGCTGTGCCTCGCACGGCAGCTGAAGTTGAAAAAATCAGGAAATAAAGGTCAGGTAAGAGCCCAGGTGGGCGGGTGGGCAAAAACATCAGCGGACATAGAACCAGTTCTATGTCTGCTGCTCTTCAGAGCTACCCGTTCTACAGAGGTGGACAGAACTGATAGAAACCCACCCGAGTCAATATTGAAGAAAACAGTTCAGTATGTATAAAGAAAATTTTCTCAATGCTGAAAAAGATCGTCAGTGTTAAGGAACAAAAGTATTGCAGTCTGGTTACACTACAAGCAGAACTCATCAGTTTGCATCCAAATAAAATGGTTGATTTCCAACATTTCTAAGATTTTTCTTCTCTCCAAGTTGTTTTTTTTCCTCCTTTCAATTTTTTCCCCCCTTGGTTGCATTTTTGTACGTTTTGGGGTTTTTAAAAAAGATTTTTAACTAGATTATTTAGAATAGCCCCACTTCTGTATATCTGCTCTCTGCAGCAGTGATTTTCCAGTCCTGGAATCTGGAGGACAACAAAGCAGAAAACGAAAACTCCACTTGTTGAAATTTCATAATCAATATAGAAAAAACACCACCCAAACGCCTTTTTTGAGGAATTCCACAATTTCTGCAAAAGGAAATGTCCAGTAATTTCTGCTGATGGGAAATCAGGAATGAAATTCAACCCCTCTCTAAACTCATCAACTTTTGTGGATTTTCTTGTATGCAATAAGGAGTGATTTATGCCTGTAGTACTGTCCACAGACGGGACATTTGAATAGTCTCCCCCCTGTGAGCCCTCCGCTGTTTCACCAGGTGTGAATTGAAACGGAAATGTTTCCCACACCAGGACATCCAAAGGGATTCTCTCCTGTGTGTATTCTTTGGTGTCTCATGAGACGGATATTTCTGATGAAACTTTCCCCATAATCAGGGCATTTAAAGAGTTTCTCTCCTGTGTTAGTCCTCTGGTGTATCACCATATTGGAATTTTGACTGAAACTTTTGCCACAAACAAGACACTAATATGGTATTTCTCCGTTGTGAGTCCTCTGGTGTGTCACCATGTTAGAATTCTGACTGAAACTTTTGCCACAAACAGGACACTCATATGGTTTCTCTCCTGTGTGAGTCCTCTGGTGTGTCATCAGGCTGGAAGTCTGACTGAAACCTTTCCCACAGACAGGACATTCAAAAGGTTTATATCCTGTGTGTATCCTCTGGTGCCTAATAAGCTGGTATTTTCTAATGAAACTTTTCCCACAATCAGGGCATTCAAAGTGTTTCCCTCCTGTGTGAGTCCTCTGGTTTATCTCCAGGTTGGAACTTTGACTGAAACGTTTTTCATAATAAGGACATTCAAAGTGTTTCTCTGCTGTGTGAGTTCTTTTGTGTGTCACCAGGCTGGATTTGTGACTGAAACGTTTTTCACAATCTGGACATTCAAAGGGTTTTTCTCCTAAGTGAGTCCTCTGGTGTATCATAAGGTAGTTATTGTTCATGAAACATTTTCCACAAACAGGACATTCAAACGGTTTCTCTCCTGTGTGAGTCCTCAGGTGTATTACCAGGCGGCAATTGTGAGTGAAACCTTTCCCACAGAAAGAGCATTCAAAGGGTTTGTGTGTCCTCTGGTGACTTGTGAGCTGAATTTTTTTAATGAAACTTTCAGCACAATATGGACACTGATATGATTTCCCTACTGTATGAGTCCTGTGGTGTTTCACCAAATTGGAATTGTGACTGAAACTTTTCCCACAAACCTGACACTCATACGGTTTTTCTCCTATATGAGTCCTCTGGTGTACCACCAGCTGGGAATTCTGTCTGAAACTTTTCCCACATAGAGCACATTCAAATGGTTTCTCTCCTGTGTGAGTTCTCTGATGTATCATCAGCTGATAATTCTGACTGAATCTTTTCCTACAAAGAACACATTCAAATGGTTTCTCTCCTGTGTGACTCCTCTGGTGATTCATGAGCTGGTATTTTATAGTGAAACGTTTCCCACAATCAGAACATTGAAAGGGTTTCTCACCTGTATGTGTCCTCTGGTGTCCCACCAGGTGGGAATTCTGACTGAAACATTTCCCACAATCGGGACATTCAAAGGGTTTCTCTCCTGTGTGTGTCCTCTGGTGTTTCACCAAGTAGGAATTCAAACTAAAACATTTCCCACAATCTTGACATTGAAAGGGTTTCTCACCTGTGTGAGTCTTCTGGTGAATCACCATGTTGGAATTCTTACTGAAACATTTCCCACAATCAGGACATTCAAAGGGTTTCTCTCCTGTGTGAGTCCTCTGGTGAATCACCAACTTGGAATTCCCACTGAAAAATTTCCCACAATCAGGACACTCATATGATTTCTTTTCTGTGCACATCTTCTAGAGTATCACCAGGCCACAGTTCTGACCAAAACTTTTCCCACAATCAGAGCATTCAAAGGGTTCCTCCCTGGTATGAGTTCTCTAATGTATCACCTAGTTGCCATTCTCACCACATTGGGAGCATTTGTAGGGCTTCTCTCCTATGTCATAACCATCATAACTGTGAGTTAGCTGCCAAACATCAAAATATAAATCACATGACTATGCGGATGCTGCAAAAGTCATAAGTGTGAAAAATGGGTCATAAGTCACTTTTTTCAGTGTCGCCGTAACTTTGGACAGTCCTAAATGAACTGGTGTAAGTTGAGGACTACCTGTAATGCATCCTTGGGTTCTGCATACTCTATTTTATTCAGTTCGAAATCTCTTCTTGATCACCTGCAGGGGAAGGAGAAGAATTTTGTGGTTTTCTAAACGAAATAGAAAATATTTTGATTTCTGGCTTGAGCTGCTTTCCTTTTTAACGTTGCTTATTATTCTCAGTTGTCCGGAGTGCTTTTATTGGCATCCTCTTTGCCTGTAGGATTCAAGGAAAAGAGTAACTTTAATTGTTCACAAAATGGTTGCAGAAGAAGTGAAAGAAGAAAAACATGTGCATTAAAGGGAGAAAGCAAATATGCCAGAATGCTAAAATAACCTTAATTATGATTTATTTGACACATTGAAGATTACCAAGATCCAGGTTCACATTTGTATTCAACCATGAAATTCTCTTGTTGACTTGAGTCAATACAAATTCTTAGTACAGCAATTATTGGATAGAATCACTGTAATTAAGATGAATATAACATTTAACAGAATAATAGAGTTGGAAGGGACCTTGAAGGTCTTCTAGTCCAACCCTCTGACCAAGCGATAAACCTTATACCATTTCAGACAAGTGGCTGTTGAATCTCTTTTTGAAGGCCTCCAATGACGGAGCACCCAAAACTTCTGAAAGGAAGCTATCCCATTGGTTGATGGCTGTCATCTTTAGGAATTTTCTCTTTCAGCTCTAGGTTGTTTCTCTTTTTGGTTAGTTTCTATCTATTCTTTCTGTTGGTACTTTGGTAAAATAGTTCGACTTGTCTTTGTCTTTATAGGAGCTCCTCAAATATTGGAACACTGCTGCCATGCCTCTGCTAGTCCTTCTTATTAGACTAGCGTATTTTATATTTGATCAATTAATAAAGGCTTTGTGAAAGAAACCAAATACTTAGCACTGCAAAGAGTAATTATGAAATACAGTATATCTGGAAGTGCTGGGGACAGATTATACAATTGTAGATATATGCATAGAGAGAAAAACAGAAATAAACAAACCTACAAATTTATATATCTGGAAAATCCATGTATTTTCAGCCTGAAAAAATATTCCAAAATGGTTACAGTCAAACCTTCTGTGCTAACTCCGGAGATATGGGGCTTTAACTGATGAAATGTTGCTTAAAGCCTCTGCAAGATTTGAAGCATCCATTTTGCCCATGGAAGTCCTGAGCTTCAGGGGAGAAAATACTTTGCACAATCACTCTGGCAACACCCCAACTGAAGTCATCCTCACTTACTGACTACATTTGGGACTGGCATCTGTGTCACTAAGCAGCCTGATCATGAAGCATGATGTCACATGACAGTGCCAACTTATACCTGTTCCTCTGCATTTGTAGGTTGTTAAAGGCAAATTCACCTGACCGTGGCTTTCAACTTCCTGCTGGCATCCCCACTGATTTGACTTGTGTGAAGCTAGCTGGGAAGGTCACAAATGGGGATCATGAGGGCGGGACGTTACAACCATCATAAATGTGCACCAGTTGGCAAGAACCCAAATTGGTTGCAACTCCTTTTCCTGCCTCTACACAACCACAGAAACTGCTGACATGTTCAGGTCACTGAACAAGTGTTACGATGACCACAGATTTCAGGACCAGGTCTACAACTGCTTTTGCAGTGCCAGAGTAACTTCGAAGGCTCATGAAACAAATGGTAAGCGAGGCCTATATACAAACTGAACATCCCAAAAGGTCCTCAATAAGACCTTTTTAGTTGAACCTGGTTAATACATGGATGGGGCACCAATAGGAAATACCGTGCTTGTTTATTATTGCTAAGAAAACAGCAGGTCCATAACAGAACAACAGAGTTGAAAGGGATCTCGGGAGATCTTCTATCTAGCCCAATCCCTTGTTTGAGCAGGAGGCCCTGAGGAACCTGACAACTTTGTCACCCAAAAGGTAGAGGATGGAATTAGAGGGTCAGCTCTACTGGACTTAATTATTTATTCATTTAAAAAAATGATACTACCTATTTGCACATGATACTGTCTATTTGCACATGGCAACGTGTGTGTGTGCGCGCGCGTGCGTGCACACACAGACACATATATATGGTTTCGTTGATTTTCACTGGTACAGGTATGCAGGTCTTGGCATGTTTGGGTCTTTTCCCATGTAAGATTGAGAGTATCTTGGCAATGTTTTGAAGAGGTCCCACTCGCCATCTTCAGGCTGGTGCTTTCGGCTTCGTGCTTGTGCGAGCAAAGCGTGATCGGAGCTGCCGTCTCCCTATATATACTGGTGGAGAAGTTGGCTGTGTTGTTATTTCTTGATTGGTTGATGGAGTTGATGTTGGTTTGTCCAAAGTATGTGGCTGGGCAATTGTTGCATGGTATTTGTTGCAAGGAGTTTATGAAATATCATGCAACAATTGCCCAGCCACATACATTGGACAAACCAACAGGAGAATAAATGCATGTATCGCAGAACACAAGAACACAGTCAGAAAAGAAGAAAATTCCTCCTCCCTTTTCCAGCACCTTAAAGCCACAGGACATGAAATTAATTTTGAGGGAACCAAATTAATCTCCAATACTGAACACTTCAACAAGAAAATAATAAGGGAAGCCATCGAAATAGAGAAACACCACCACAACATGAATAAACAGAAACGATACCTCCCACCTACCAGACATTTGGAAACTAGCCCTTATCAACAAACGAGTCTCAGCCACGAAAACCAACACCGGACCCAAAACAACACATGACGCCACCACCAATCTCCCTCACCAGACTCAAACCCAAAACCACCCCATAGACGAAAGGCAACCACTGTCCAGAAGCCAGACCACAGCTGCATCACCAGCTGCCACACACCCCGACCCCCAAACCAAGCAAACTGACACACACCATGAACACATAGCCAGGCCTCAAACTCTGAGCCAAACCAAAACCCGGAACTTCACATCACAGTCACCTGCTCAGGATATCACATCACGGAACTCAGGAGGTTACACCTCAAAACCTCAGGAGGAGAAGGAAATTATTTGAGATTATTATGGGAAACTATACACACAAGAGAATATTGATGAGGAAAGAGTTAAACAGTATTTACAGTATGCTAATTTACCCCAGATACCTAAAGAGATTGAAACAATGTTAGAAAGCAATATAATGATGATGGAGTTAACTGAAGCACTTAAGAAACAAAATAATGGAAAAGCACCAGGCCCAGATGGACTTCCGGCAGAATTTTACAAAACATTACAAGAATCATTGAATTTTCCACTGCTAGAAGTTATGAATGAAGTTATGTTAAAGAAGAGGATACATAAATCATGGTCAGAAGCTTTATTACACTTGTCCCCAAATCCAGTACAAATCAAGAATTATAGACCTATCTCCCTACTAAATGCAGATTATAAAATCTTTTCTTCAATATTGGCAGAAAGACCTAAAAATTTTTTAAATAATTTTATCCATCCTGACCAAAATGTATTTTTTCTGCCAAAGAGACAAATCAAAGACAATATGAGAGTAATCTTGGACACTTTGGAATACTACGAGGCACATCCTGAAAAACAAATGGCTTTGATATTTTTAGATGCACAGAAGGCATTTGATAATGTGAATTGGAGATTCATGTTATTACTGCTGGAACAGATGGGCTTTGCTAGAAAATTTATTCAAGCAGCAGAAGCTATATATCATAAGCAGACGGCAAAGGTAATGATAGAGGGAGAACTGACAGCATCTATCGATACAAGAAAGGGAACAAGACAAGGGTGCCCACTATCACCTTTGTTGTTTGTGTTAACTTTGAAAGTGCTAAACAGAAATATTAGAGATGACAAGAATATAAAAGGGATGAAAATTAAAAAGGAAGAATTTAAGTTGCAAGCATTTGCAGATGATTTGGTTTTTATCTTAGAAGACCCACTAGAAACAGCATCAAAATTGATAGAAAAGATAAGAGACATATGGAAAGGTGGCTGGTTTGAAAATAAATAAAGATAAGACAAACAGGAGATTACAGCACAAGACCCAGGATGTCAAAACAATAGAACTCAGAAGGTCATCACACAGCCCATTACCAAGGTCGTTACAACACAGGAGGCTGATAAACACACAGCCAATACCTCAGCCACACATGTTCTTACGAAAAAGCCAGCCAATCTGCAAACATCAACTCCATCAACCAATCAAGAAAAAACAACACAGCCAACCTCCCCACCAGTATATATCGGGAGACGGCAACTCCGATCACGCTTTGCTTGCACAAGCACGAAGCCGAAAGCACCAGCCTGAAGATGGCGAGTGGGACCTCGTCGAAACGTTGCCAAGATACTCTCAATCTTACACAGGAAAAGACCAGGCTTCTGTATAGTGTTTGTTCTGTATAGTGTTCGAACACTATACAGAAGCCTGATGATGGCAGATGAGATTCTGCCGAAACATTGCTACAACTTCAAAGCACAACTATAATGACATGGGAAAATACCCAAACAAAGCTGAATACCATACATACATACATACATATATATTTACACAAACACACACACACACACACACACACATATTAATAGAAGAAAATAATCAAATAATGAATTAATACATTAATAAAATAATATAATAGCTCTCGGCGACAACACATCACACAAGCCATTTAATGGGCTCCATCCAGCTCTGGGTTCCCCAGTGGCAAATGTTTTTTCGGAAAAGTGTTAAGAGTGGGGGGCCATTC